AAGTAATAAATATCTTAGTCAATTCAAATAACTACAGAAGGAACTGAATAGATATGTTACCCTGCAGTAATATTCTTCTGGTTTAATAGAGTGCACATTTCTACTGTGTAATCAAAGGCAGAGGTGACCATACATCCTTCAGAAAATTAGATAAGATCAGTAATGGTCATTTATGTCTTATTCTAAATTAATTCTGTCAGAGTTAAAAATAACTCCCCCTCCCCCAAAGCTCTGAGGACATACTTAGTAGAAATTGGATACATTTCAACATTAAAACAGCTGTCTTCCACATTTTTTTTCTCAGGGAGAATGTAAATGGAAAACTGATATAACAGATTTTGTCTCCAGGCAAAATGAAATGGATGAGTTTAATGTCAGCACAGGAAAAAGGAAGGGGGCAGTTCCCAAAAGAGCAACTCAGTGCTCACTTTTAATTTATGTCAATATTTTCCTATTGAAGTAGAAAAAACATGAACTAGAACATTTTTTAGAGGAGTAAAGTTGAGGCATCCCTTGCATCACAATGACACACTGTTTGACCTCAAACTACATGGATTCCTTGGAATAGGGTAAAGTTATTTCTAATTTAAAGAGCTTAAAAAACATGGCATCAAAGACTGAAGTGACATTTAATTTCAAGATACAATTACAGTGTTTCTTAAAATCACAAGTACCTCTCTAAACACCAAGATTCTGAAAACCAATACAACGTATAATTCCTCCAGGAAAGAAATAATTTTCCAAACAAAATACAAGTTGTCATTTGTAACTCATTACTGACAACAGTCAGCTCCTTCAAATTTCAGATTTTTAGACTTGATACTTAGAATTTCCAATCCTCTGTGCTCAGCCCTAATGGTAACCACCACAGTAATTCAAATGAAGCTATAATAAAACAAAAATTTATAGTGATCAAGGAAATGTATTCCAAATGGACATGCAAAAATATTTTTTTCAAAACTCAGACTTAATTATACTTGCAAAGTTATAAATTAGAACCAAGAAACCAAAGTAAAATCGGCCTACAGCAGAAATGGAAGATAGGAAGATCTTTAACTATATTTCTGTGTATTTATTTACCCACAAATTCTAACTAAGCAGAAAAACAACCATTAAACAGGAATCCCATACTTAGAGTAATTTTATCTTACAAATATTATCAATTATCTTTTCAAATATACTTCTAAATTGAGAAAAAGATTTTCCCTCTTCTATTCCTCTTCTGTCTGTGGTAGGCAGGACAGCCCATCAACATGTCCATGACCTAATCTTTAGAACCTATGAGTATGTTATGCTACATAGCAAAAGGGACTTGCAGTTATAATTAAGGTTACAGGCTTTAAATAAGGAAGATCATCCTGAATTACCTGGATGGGCCCAAACTGATCTCATGAACCCTTCAAAGCAAAGAATGTTCTCCAGCTGGAAGATGATGAGGAAGGTAAAGAATGAGAAGGAGTCAACACACTATTGCTGGCTCTGAGATGCAGGAGCCTATGTGCAATGACCAGAGTGGGACCTGCTGCAGCTAAGGGCAGCCCTTGGCTGACAGCTATCTCAGTCCTACAACCACAAGGAACTGAACGTGGCCAACAGTATGAATGAGCCTAGAAGTGGATTCTTCCCGCAGTCTCCCTATAAGAGTCCAGAAGTTGGAACTTTATTATTATTATTATTGAGATATAATTGACGTATAATATTGTGTCCATTTAAGGTATACAACATAATGATTTGATACACTTATATTGCAATATGATTGCATTGTAGCTTTAGCTAATACCTCTATCACATCACATCATTATCATTTCCCGGAGGTTAGCATCTTGATTTTGGCCTTTAGAGACCCCCACTAAACCCACTAGAACTTCAGGTCTACAGAACTGTGAGATAATGGAGTTGTTTTAAGCTATTAAGCTTGTAGTAATTTGTTACACCAACAACTGAAAGCAAATATATCCCCAAAAACCCGTTTTCCCTCTATCTCTTCTCTTCCATTTACCATCTTAAGAAATTAAAATCAGCCAACCATATCTTAAGATAAAATCTCAAAGCATTTTATTTCTTCATTGAGTATTCAATGTCTGTTCTTGAAAAGCATCTCTTGCTCCTGCTGGAAGATGCAAAACAGCAGAGTGAGGAACTAATGGGGGGAAGTTGAGCAATGTCTTTAACCTCAAACCTTAGTTCCTTCATCCGTACACAACCACTAACCATATTTACCAATGACTCAGATAACCTTATTATTTCAAGTTTACACTGGCCTTTGTACAGCCTGAATTACAAAGATAAAATTTGAAATGATCTTAATAAATGAGACATAAAGAACAGGTAAACAAAAAACAGGGTATAAAGAGCAAGAGAAGTAATTAAGGACTGGGGCATAATAATAAAGGTTGAACAAATTAACATAATCTGCCCAGTCCTCATGGTAGAAAATCAGAGTGTAGTGTGCACACTTAATTTTGTAGCTAAAGATTTGTTAGGAAAAAATTATGAATAACTTTGAACTTAGTGAATTGGTTGAACTTGGTGAATTATTCGATAAATTGATTAATGGGAACATTGATTTCCAGAGATGTAGCCAGCTTCTTGGTGGCACATGAAAGGTGTTCAATAAATATTTGTTGAATAAATGGTGAGTATTGGTATTATGTCTGGCCTTACATTTAGTTCTGAAATTCCTGGAATAACACATTACTATGATTAAAATAAAAAGGATTGATTATATACCTGTCCCTTTTCCAGATAGCTAAAGTATAAAAACTTGAAAAACAGTAAGCAATTTTTTTTTCCTTTTAATCCATCAGTTTCATAGTTTTGTCAAGCTAACAAAAGTACAGGGGGGAAATGGGGACATCTGCAATCATGTCAACAACAAAAATAAAGTTAAAAAAAAAGTGTTAACAAAAGTCCATCTCTCACAGAAACTTTTGAGGATAAAATATAGCAAACTGAAAATATAACTTATTCTATTAAATTTGAGAATTACTCATGATTCAAAATTATTTTAAAATCTGTATTGGGCTTTCATAAATAATCAAAATATTTGTTGAGTTGATTGTTTAGGGTTCTACTAAGGAGTGTAAATTTTAAGGGCCCTTTTTGTGCCTTTTATTTATTAATAATGGACTGTAATTCAATATAAGAATCACAGATGTTAGCGCAAGGGAGCCATCTGAATGGGGCCTGAGAAGGCCTTGTTGAGAAAATGACATGACTTGAGCCCTGAAGGATGGGGAGTTTCCCAGGAAGCAGTAAAGGAGGCGCCGTCCTGGCAGAATTTAGCATGAGGGACACTGGATTCAGGACCCTGAGGTCAGGAAAAACGCCGTGGGTTTGAGGAACTGAAAAGTGGCCAATGTGCCAAGAATCTGGTATGTGAAGGAAAAAAATACCGGGATCGTGTATGAAACTAAGCAGGAGTCAGCCACTGCAAGGCTTTGTAGGACATTATAAAACTGTTAGACTTTTTCCTAAGTACAGTGTAAAACCTAGGTTTGGCCCTCTTGTCAAATTTTAAAAGCAAATCCCAGTTATCCTCTCATTTCATCTAGATGGGAGTACATGGCATGCACAGTACCATTATCTGTACTTCTGTGTATGTTTGAAAATGTCTATAATAAAAGGTTAAAAAGTTAAAATTATTTAAAAGTAAGTTAAAGTTAAAATGAAATAAAAAATAAAACCTAGGTTTGGGGAATGTGTGTTTCTTCTAAAGTTTTCTTTTGGTAGTTATATTTTAATGACCTCATTGTTTCTCTTTTTTTTTAAGAGTTGGGTATAAATTTTTAAGAATGATGACATAGGCACAATCTATTGACACATATTACATATTAACTAACATGAAGAAAATGCCACTGGTCTTTCTAAATGCAACTTCAAATGGCTGTCTTGAACAATTAATAGATCCTCTATATATATTAAAAGGATATTTTATCTGCCTCTGCAATGATGTATCTTCTCTATAAAATCGTTTGATAATTGGCAATCTCTCTTCTCCTGATGTAATTCTTCTACATTTATTGACTCATTAATGAGCCTTTCATTAGTGATTAAATGTGTTTGTTTTGCAAGGAATTATCTCTTTTTGATTTATCTTTTACCAAAGTAATCTTCAAATGCCTACCATATGATATAAAAGAATCCAAATTTCAAGATTTTAAAACTGATTTTTGCAGACAATTTCAGCAAAAAGTACTTTCAAAATTTTTATTTCCCTTTCCAGTGGATGACCCAAATGAGAAGATATTGATATTCTTATTCCAAAAAGTTGTATGTATGCTAAAAATTCTGTCGACCAGAGAGCCATTCAGCCCACCTGCTTCCCTACTAATAAGGTTATTTATTATAAATGTTATTTTGTTTTCTCATATCTGTTTGTTGTTATTGTTGTTTTGTTTTGTAAAACCTTACTTATTTTTCAGTGACTTTGGGAGGATTCAAAATGGTTTGAGGTTGAAAGGAAAGTCTACGGCTACCGGAATGAGGAACTAAAATAGGGACAGGGAGGATCCGTTCCTGGAGGAATCTCTCTGCGGGGCCACTGTAAAGTCTCATTACATTCAGTAAATATGGATTTTATCTGGGTCTGCCCTACATATATTTCCCCAATCCATCCCTTAACTTGATTTTCCCATGGCTAGAGGCTGACAAGAAGGAAAGAGAAAGACGGAGTCGTCAAACAAGGGAGGAATAAAGAGAAGACTGTTGCTGATCCCTAAGGACTGCTTTGTCCATGGTGTCTCTGTTGGTAGAACTAACCTAAAAAGGCAACTTAGTAAGACATCTGTCCATTTCTTGGAACAGAACCCTTAGAAGATGCCTAGCAATGAGATCGTAAGCTTCTAGGTAAGTATCAACAGTGCCACTGGGCAGGTGTGTCATGGTCTGAGTGGATCAACAGGCTGGAAAACGCCCTGTTCTCTGTGAGTGAGTCATTGTTTATGAAAAGAAGGGTAGTGTCCCACACACCTACCTTATTTCAGTAAATGCTGAGGTTTGGCAGAATTCCTTTCTTCTCCTGCCGATTAAGGAACAACCTGGGAAATAAGACAGAGAAAACAGATAGATGGAAATAGAAATATTGGATTTATTATTATAACCTATTTGGGAAAATGTGAATTTAGTTCTTTGGTCAAAGGGTAAACTACCTCTCCTGTGCCCACACCACCACCACCCTCCCCACACGTACGCACTTTATACTTCAGGAAGTCCACCCAAGAACATTTTAAATCTGCACAATAGCTGCACTTATCCAAGACTGGTCACTCACACTGGCCCAGGGCAATGTGAGAAGGAACAGAGAGCTAGTCCCCAGGGTCCAACAGAGAAAACAGATCCAGGTGTCACTTATCAGTTAGGAAACACTTCGCTTCCTGGATCAGAATGAATAATGGCTGGGGCAAGAGGCCAGGAGTATTACTCTAGCAGAAGTCCCTCCATATGGAAATATGAGGCAAATAGGAAGGAAGTTCGCCTACCTGAGGCCCAAACCCTCAGCCCAAGAATTCTCCAGATACTAAGGATTAAGAAACTATAAAGTTGCATCTACCTTTAGGACATAAAAATTCATAATGTAGATTTAATATCATATTACTGCAGCAAAGAAATCTCCTAGGTATCGTATAACATATTTAAAATACCATACTTTATCTCCAGGATTTAGAAAGAAGAGAGGAAATGCTACTTTTATATTTATTCTAAACTGCTCACAAAATAATATAATTAAATAGTTAACGTTAATCTTCTCATCAAAAAAAATTATACACTATCACTAACAGGAAAAAAAACACAAAGGGTTTCTTAAAAAGAAAAATGTAAATGTAATATAAGCCAATATTTATTTCCTAATAAAAACTTAATTCACCACATAGGCTGAAGAGTCACTAGTTCTGCTAGCTGCTTGTGAATTTGTGTCATATAACATTTTTATATAGATAGTGGGTATTTCAAATGGGATTCATCATGCAGTCTTAAAACATCCCTTTTCCTCTTTACCTCACATTTTCCTCTTAATTTTTGTCCTTTCATATATTCACTCTATTTTCTCCTTATGATGAAAATATGTATTCATAAAAATTCAAGATTTCAAACAAGTGTTTACCATTTAATTGCTATAAAGTGTCTTATAATAATTTGCACAATGGAGTGACCTATTTTTTCTTTTGACAATTTAAGAAATCACAAGCGAATGTTTAAGATAAAACACATATGAGAACAAAATTACCCAAGACTTTGACATTTAAAGTAACTTATTTATGCTTTCAACCTATGACTTGTAAGATTTCAGGGGAGCAACAGCTTCATTTAATCACGTTGAACAAAAGAGTAAATTCGTACTACTCAAAGGAGCGACTCAGATACCCTAGGTGTCCACATTCCTGGAATATGTACTTTCTGGACACTTACAAGAACATCATTGATGGCTCCTGGCAAGCCGCTCACTCTGGAGCAGAAAGGGTCTCTTATTCCTAAAAGTCTTTTGGTTTCCAAAGTTGAAAGCTGTTTGGTAACGGTCGCTGAGTTCTGAAGAGACACAAGTACCAGGTGCACAGGAATCAGCAGTGAAGGTAAAATAAAGATTTCCTCGACCATCTCAGAGGGACACCCTGCATGGTGGGAAATTCCAGAGGAACTCCTACTGATCCCACTGGTTACCACTGGGGAATCGCCTATCGGGCGTCCGCTGTGTGTCTGTCCCTTGATAGATACTAGGGGAATGGAAAGGGGGACTCACACACCAACAAAGCATGGCCTTCCTTCACTAAGTGTATCCCGATTTTGTTGGGGGTAAATATGAAAAATAACAATATCATATAACTTGTACCAATAATGTATTCCGTGTTGTATCTTTGATTTTTAAACAAAGTTTGGAAGGATGCTTACAAGAAAACTAGGCTATGAGGAGGAAGGACTGGACCCCAAATGTGAGCCATCCTCTAGGGCGAGAGAGCTTTGGGGGCTGGTTAAGGTTAGTTATGAACTGGCTCAGGTTATCACCTGTGCTTCTGACAAAGTATAGATTAGAGGTTCCCATGATCTCCACGTTGGGTTTGAGTAATTTGCTTGAGTGGCCCACAGAACTCAGAATACTAGTTTACTCACTAGATTATCAGTTTATTTCAAAATATACTAAGGGATAGGAATCAACAGTGCGGTGAAGGGATACATAGGGCCAGGTAAGTGGGAAGGGGCTCAGAGCATCCGTGCCCTCTCCAGGCAGGCCACTCTCCCCAAATCTCCATGTGTTCCCCAACTTACCCATCTTTTTGGGGGTTTTATGGAAGTTTCATTATATAGTCATGATCGATTAAGTCATTGGCCATTGATGATTGATTCGGCCTCTAGCCCCTCTCACCTCCTCGGAAATCACGGGGTGGGAATGAGAGCTCCAACCTTCACGTCTGGGTTGCTTCCGCAGGCAACCAGCCCCCATCTTTAGGTGGCCGAGGGGCTTTCTAAAAGTCATCTCCTTAACATAACCAAAGACACCTATTTCCCTCTCCTCACTTAATTCCAAGAGTTTTAGGAGCTCCTTGCCAGAAATGGGGACAAAAACCAAACCCATGTTTCCTATCATAAAACACAGTATCAAGCCTCATGAGGGAAGAATCCAGCAATGAGCACTGCCTCACATTGACACTACAGTATATATAATTTGTTAGAAAAATTTCTGCAACTATGTAGGACAAACATTATTTTAGTATAAACCTTTGGTCAACTCATGGGTTCTGAAGGGACCTGGATTAAACTCTGGTTAAGCGACCAGAGTCAAGCAACAAGGCAGGCATTGGTCACTCTGTGATTCTGCCCTTCTAGAAAGGGCAGTTGTTGGGCCCATAGTAGGAACATAACAAATATTCCTTGAATATTAATTGATTGATTGATTGACCCTGGACCACTAGAAATATGTGAGAGACAGCTTGTAGCAAGCCTCTAGTTTCAGAAAGAATGAATAGTATCTTTGCACTTCTGTTTCCTTCCCCCTTCCCTAGATCCCAGCCACACACCTGTTGCAAGGAGAGGTGCTTTCACAGGGAGCAACAATGTTGTTAAAAGGCAAGAACGCAGTGGGACCACTGCGCTCATTCAGTTCAGCAAGTGTTAGAGCTTGAGCTAAATCCTAGAGTTCCTATTTGCATAAGAAAACCCAGGTTCCTAGAAACTGTGTTGAGAAATCTGGGGCAAAAAAAATAAAGGCCCTGAAGTTAGAACTAAAATTCCTTACAGAGAAGAAGATATTATGGGATGTGCCAGGAAGACATTTTTTTAAGTACAGAAGAGTAAAAGGAGCCGATTCCCCTCTGGAACCCTTTGGGTAGGTTTGTAGTCACTGGAAAAAAAACCCAAACTCATTTGTATCATTAATAAGTGTACCACACTAATAGTGTCCTAGTTCAATTCTTTGACATAAATACCACAATAGTTGGAAAAAGAAAACGTTCATGATCAAAACAAACTATAGTTATTTGCCAGCTACATAAAGAGGCTCAGAAGAAAATAAATCTTATCACTATTGAGGACAAAGGGGCTGCTTTGGGGCTTTTGTATCATCAGCGTGGAACTAGAGTAAATGGAAGTCAGCAGCAATAGGGGCCAGGAGTCATTCCAGGGAGGCACTGCAGAGGACCTAAGGAATCCCCCTACTTTAGGCCCTTTTCTCCTCTCAACAAAGTGAATTACCTCAACTCTACAAAAGATGACGGGAAAGGCCTGTGAGACAACTATGGAGCCATGGATANACTGCAGAGGACCTAAGGAATCCCCCTACTTTAGGCCCTTTTCTCCTCTCCACAAAGTGAATTACCTCAACTCTACAAAAGATGATGGGAAAGGCCTGTGAGACAACTATGGAGCCATGGATACACACAGAAACCAACAAACAAGCAAAGTACCCCATTCAGAGGCTTACACCCAGTTCTGTCTGTTTCTATGATAATCCATCCTTTTTGTACTTTCCCTCTCAGAAATAAGAGCTAGACAAAGGAGACTCAATCACCCTCCATCTGTACAGGTCGATCAGAAAGCCTAAAAAACTCTAATAAATATAAAGGGTAAACAGTTTCTCCCTCTTCCTGCCCCTGGTAGCCGGGATCTTACAGACTCCTTCAAATTCCCCTTCCCCTCAGTAACACCCACCGCAGCCCTCATTTGGAACCGTAGTTCTACAGTCACTGCCAGGGGCAAACAACACTTTCTCCATGACTCCCTAAATGTAATTCACGACTAGGGTCATGAGCTCGAGTCCTAAGAATATTTCCTGAGACCAGGAGTGCCATCTCGCCATCATTTCTATCAAATCAAAGCCTGATAGATAACTACAGATCTGTACATATGGATTCCATAAAGCACACAGAATATTAAACTGCTTCAGAAATTACATTTTAATAATGTATACGAGAACTGGAAATCCCTATATTGTGTCAGAACCACAATCCAGCCCAGTTTTCTGTTGCCAAAACCAGTGTCCTAAGTGTTTTTAAAAACCTGAGCTTCCCTTGATAGCCATTTATAGTTCTGTCATTTAACAGAATAAGACATTTTAAATTTGAACTGTCTCGGTCATGCAACTCATTTTTTTTTTCTTTTTGTAACAAGGTCACCCGGGGACTTTCATGCATTCATCTTTTTTTCCCCTTCACTAATTTTTATCATGTTCCTTTTCAACGCTGCATTCTTCCCCCCACTGCACCACTATGCCAGGTACTGTGAGATACAGTGGTAATAAGATGTGGGCCCTGTGCTCCAGAAACTCAAAATCTAGCAAAAGAAAGTCATGTTCAACCATCTGTAAGTTAAGAATCAAAACAAGCGCATTTTAAAGGTTTGGATGTTGTGTGACAGAAGCCCGAGAGGAGAGGAGGATGGGGGGAGAGGCGGGAGGGGTACAAGGAGAGCTGGGAGAAGGCAAACAAGGAGAGCCACAGGCGGGAGACAGAAAGTGGTAGCTGGGCCGCACGAGAGAGCCGAACCCAGACGGATTGCGGCAGGTGGCGAAGGTCAAATTTGAAACTAGTGAGCTTGAATTTTTCCAGCGCAC